ATGTCCTGACAGGTTGTGTCTGGGATCTGGGGCCCAGCACAGCCACCTCCAGAGCCCTGGCAGGGCAACAGGACCCGTGGCTTGAGCTCTGCTCTGCTGAGGGTCAGGAGCTCCCACTGGGGTGGTGAGACCCATGTCCTGTGGGGCTGGTTCTCTGCAGGGAAGGGGACAGGGCCTGGGAGCTCCTGTGGCAGGTGGATGTCAGGGGCTCCTCTGCCACAGACACAGAGCATCCTGTACTCCTGGTGCTGGACAACTGCTCAGGTACCCCCAACCCTCACCCCCTGCCCCGTGGTCTCTGCAGATCTCCTCAGGGGAGGCATACCTGGTCTACATTGAGCGCCTCTACTCCAAGTCAGAGTTCAACAACTACCTGGCTGCCCTCTACAAGGTGGTGGGGACCTTTCTCTTTGGGGGGGCCATCAGCCAGTCCCTGACTGACCTGGCCAAATACATGATCGGCCGTCTCCGGCCAAACTTCCTGGCTGTCTGCAATCCTGACTGGTCCAAGGTGAACTGCTCTGTCTATGTGCAGCTGGAGAATGTCTGCCAAGGAGAGAGCAGGAACATCACTGAGTCCAGGTGAGCCATGGGGCCACAGGACATGTCCCCTCCGCCTGCCCAGCAACACTGGGCCCTTGTGGTCCAGTGGCAACCTCAGATGGGTGTTGATGCTCTCCTGCTGTGAGGCAAAGCCTACAGAGTAGGGTAGGGGGCTTGCAGGGGACATATGGGGCTGACCCATCCCTTTTGCCCCACAGACTCTCCTTTTACTCGGGACACTCCTCCTTTGGGATGTACTGCATGATGTTCCTGGCGGTAAGTGATGTGCTGCAGGAAGGCAGTGACCCCACGTGGGTCTGGCACCCCAAGGACCTGTCATCAGGGTGGTTGGTGCCCCTGCCCTGGGTGATTGCTCCCCTCCCTTGCTGCCCAGCTCTACGTGCAGGCCCGGCTGGTGGGGAAGTGGGCCCGGCTGCTGCGCCCCACCACCCAGTTCTTCCTCATCGCCTTCGCCATCTACGTGGGCTACACCAGAGTGTCTGACTACAAGCACCACTGGAGTGATGTGCTGGTGGGGCTGCTTCAAGGGGCTCTCATCGCCGTCCTCATCGTGAGTATCCCCTGCACCACCTGATGTTCTTCTGGGCTCCTGCTGGCTGTGGCCTGGCTGGATGGAGAGGTCCCCAAACCCTCTTTCCTGTCTCTCTTCCAGGTCCGCTATGTCTCTGACCTCTTCAAGCACCGTCCCCCACGGCAGTGTGAGGACAAGGACCTGGAGCGCAAGCCCAGCCTGCCCCTCACCATGAGTGACCCCGACCACAATCACTACAGCTACCGAGGTGCCCCATAGCCAGTGCCCCCACTGCAGAGCTGCCCCTCGCCGCGCTCTGCCCCGGGACGGGGACGCTGGCTCTGTGGGGACTGTTGGCTCCATGGCTCCGATGCCTCTGGACACCACAGGTACCTGCAGGATGGCTCCTCCTGCTCCAGCAGTGCCACTGTGCTCGCCGGTGCCTGGTGATGCCAGTGCCCTACCCATGGGACAGGGATGTCCTCACCCCCTGTGCATCTGAGTCACGCTCCAAGGCTGCCGTCCCAGCCCTCTGCACCGTGAGAGGGAGGGAGGGGAGGGTGGCACGTGGGGGTGGATTTATTGGGCTGGCAAAGCACACTGAGCGAAGAGCAAACTCCTCCTCGGGAAGTCTGAGGTGGCTTGTGCTGAGTTGTCCCTGTCAGATTATCCAGCCTTGTGAGCACAAACCCTCACAGGCGCAGAGGGAGGACAGCTGCTGGGCTAGCTAGACTTTTTTGGAAAGGATTGAAGCAATCCAGAGCTCTTCTCTGTTCCTTGATTACCTTTAAGAGCAGTCCTGCCTGCCAGCAGCTGCTGCAAGCAAAGGGTGCCCGAGCAGGCTCCTCTCTGGTGGTGCCTGATGCCACAGTGCTGGGGCCAAAAGAGCTTTTGCCCCCTACCTGTTTCATGCCTGGCCTGGGCAAGGGGTTGCTCCAGCCTTTGTCTCTCCTGCAGCTTCAGCTAATGCTTTTGGGGGGGGGGATGGGGGTAGAGAGACATTTTCTGTGGTTTAGGAAAACAAATGAGGATCTGGAGCTGGACATGGGACTCCAAGTGCCCTGGGAAGGGAGGGGCAATAGGCATGGAGCAGTCCCACAACTGACATGCAGTTGCTTCCACCACTGGAGTGCTGTGGGTCTCTTTTTAAACTACATGAATTTTCATTATGATGTGTTTTATAAAAATGTGTTTTTAAATTCGATCATCCTTAAAGAATTGCCTGGCTCAGGCCTGTTCTTTTACCCCATGGATGCTCCTGGCCTCGGGGCGGATGGACTTGAGTGTCTAGGGTTTCCTTTTGCAAGGGAAAGGTGTTTGGAGCCTGTCATTAGCTGTAGCTTTGCTGGGAGGAGGATGGTGGGGGCTGTCAGGGCTTAGTCCCCTCTCCCAGTTGCCCTGGGAAAGGTGGGCAAGGCCAGGGCTGATGGGAGCCGTATCCTCTCAGATGCCAGGTGCTCGTTGCCTGTGAGGTATTGCCCTCAGGGGGCTGTGCTTTGGGCAGGAAGAAACGTGGCCAGCATGGGACTCTTGAGATCCCTCCCAGAACTGCCTTCACTTCGTCCTGACCTAGGAGCCTCCTGTGCTCCCCAGCACCATGTTCCTGCTCTGAGAGGGGGAGGCAAGGCAGGGAGAGGCTCTCGGAAAAAGTGATTCTTTGTGCCTGCAGCTCCCTTGGCTGCTCTGGCAGCTGGAGCCAAGGGAGGGCAGAGTGCCGAGAGCCTTGGCACAGCTGCCCCGTGTCCCTCTGCTGCCCAAGGGCCGTGGTTGTGGCAGGGCCAGGCTGGGCAGGCAGTGGGCACAGGGCCCTCTGCCTGCTAGGAAGTGATGTGGAGCGCAGGGAGGCAGCACCCTGGGGGTCTCAGTGTCCCCCCAGTCCCTTTGGGGGTGGGATGGCCAGTCCTGGAATATCTATTGGCTCTTGGGCACCCTCGGTGAGTGCAGCCTCTCTCCCTGCTGGGAGCAGCAGGGAGCCCTGGGCTGGCTGCCTGGTGTTATGTGCTTGCACAGTGTGGGTGACTCCAGTCTAGACAAGCCCTGACCAAAAACACCCTCCCTGTGTGGAGGGAACTCCCTTGCCCCACACTGCTCTTCTGTTTTCCTCCAAGAGCCTCCCTCGTTCCTTGCTCCCCCAGCAGGGTCCTTCCCCCATCCCAGCCCTCCGGGCTGGTTGTTTGGTAACTCACAGTGTAAAACAAAGCTGGGGGAAGTGCCAGGGCAGGGCAGCTCTGCTGCAGGGTTTGCAAACAAAGCTCTGCAAGGGCTCAGCAGCTCCTGGAAGTGGACCGTGAGGTAGGTACAGCCCAGGTTTGGGAGCTGCCTGCTTGGTTTCCTTCTGGCCTGCTGCAGTGCCCAGCAACTGCCCCAGCTCCTGGCATTTGCCTCGACAGCTCCTCTGCGCAGCCAGGAACGTGCCTGCTCCTTTCCCTTGAGATCTGATTTCACCCCTTGGATGCATCTCTGGAAAAACCAGCTGGGCTGCAATGCTGTGGCTCCAAAGGGCAGGGCTAGCTGCTGCATGTTGGGAGCTTGGCTGTTCCGTGCCAGGACTGCCTGCTGCTTTCAGCTGTGCCCTGGTCTGGGGCGGGCTGAGACCTGACCAAATTGTGGCATGCCAAGCTCCATGTGACCTGCAGCTGGTGGGAGCTCCCAAGCTGTGTCTCAGCACAGTGAGGGGCTGTGAGCTGCAGCCTGTGCCAGTTGTGCTCCTTGGATGGACAGGGATGCTGGCAGGAAGATGCCTGTGCCAGCTTCTCAGCCCCATGGGCACTGGGGAAGGTGTAGATCCAGTTTCTGCTGTGCTGTCTGGGATCCCTCTGGTCCTCCCCAGCCCTGGTCATGGCTGAGTGCCATGGCACTCTGCCCAGTGCTACTCCAGCTCCAGACCCTGTGAGTCCCCAGGTCTGAGCAGCCAGAGGGGCTGGACTGAGCTCCCTGCAGGGCTGGGACTGCTCTTGGGAGCCAATGGAGGTGGGGAATAGGGTCCAGTGGTGGAGTGAAGCTTGTGTTCCGCACTTGCTCCATTCAAGGCTTGAGCTTGTACCCAGCACCATGGGTCAGAGCTGGTGGGAGCTCTGTGCATTCTGCTTGGCAGGTCCCAGGCAGCCCCTCTGGTATTCAGGGTGAGTTGTGGCCCTGGGCAAACTTGTGACTGTGGTGTCCAAATCCCTTTGCAGTGAGTGACTCAGGAGTTGGGGATCCAGTCCTGGTTGTGCTGGTGCAGATTCAACTGTGGGCTGAAGCCACGCAGCATTGGCATGGCTGGCACCTGAGCAGAGAGCCATCCTGGGCTGGGACCTGAGCAGAGAGCCATCCTGTCCCCAGTCTCAGTAGCACCAAGTGCTCTGCCAGGGCACCTCCTTTCCCAAATATGCTGCTGCTGGCAGTGCTCAGCCAGGCTCTGGCTTCCAGCCCTGCTCCAGAAGGGGCCTGGAGCTGCTCCCCCGACCTGTGCCTCCCACCGTGCCACGCAGCATCCTGCCTCCCTTCTCCCTGGCCCCCCTGCCGATTCCACGGCTTTGGTTGCCCTGGCCCGATACCCAGATTTCTTCCTCCTCTCGGCTTTTCCCTGGCTGAGGCAGATGAAGGGGCCGAGCTGTGTCTGCAGCAGCTCCCAGCAGCTCCCAGCAGCGGGCAGCAGCCCTGCCAGGAAGGATGTTACTCATTCCCTAAACATCCCCTTCCCTGCCTGCAGCCGCGGGAGATGCTGCGGTCAGATGCGCCCCAAGGGCCTGAGGTGGCCCCGGCTCGGGGGGACGTGCTGGGGGACACCCTCGCTTCTCCTGCTCCTCCTCTTTCTTTCCCTCCTCCTCCTCCTCC